GAGAAGAGGCTGTGAGGAAAACTACAGAAAATGCATTCGCGCTATGGCAGTCAACAGTTTAAACGTTTCCTTGTAATGCTGATAAAAATTTTAATCCAGGTGGTATTTTTTCCTGTATTTCTTTTGCCACTGGAAAATTTATTGTCTGAATGGAAATTTTCTGGAACAGGGCAGAGTATGAGCAGGTTCAACTTCAGTTTAACAAGTCACAACTTACTCACACTGTTAAGTCACTGCGGGTGAAAGTGTCAGCGAAAAAAAAAACAAAATTGCAGCATCATTACGTTACTCACTTTGTACAGTGAACGTTTGGTGCTCTGGCTTGAGTCAAAGCTGCATCGTCAGTGAGTTCAAATTGCATCTGAGGAATGACGTTGCAGAGTTTCCAAGAAGCTACTAGTTTCCTGCTTCTGATGAAATGTTTGTGATAGTTAAATATCCGCCCACTACGATACAGAGTACTTGATACATGAGAGCTGCATCCTCAAATCCTCAAACCTCCCCAACCCCCTCTTTCTTCTAAATGTATATATTACTGTCACTAGATCACAGATGGTGTTTGGCATCAAATGCTGAACTGCTGAACTTTGTGCCAGTGAAAGTGATGCATGGAAACATACGTCATAACGGCTGCAGGGCTGACTCGCTCGCCCTCCTTTTGTCATCAAACATAATGCCATATGGGGTAATGGAGAGGCTGTGTGTTCCAGTGTGCGTGTGTGTGTATGTGTGTGTTAGGAGGGGTTTAGAGGGGACTTGTCCTCAATAGTGGTTTTCACAGGCCTGCTGATCATTTCCCCAGCCACCCACGTTCCGGATATCTTCTACTTTTTTTTATCCTTTTTTTCTCTCTGTCTTTTCTGACCTCTGTTGAATGGAGGAATGTGAGGAATGCAGCAGTGAATGGGCGAGTGGGGGAGGCAGCATGTAAATGACTGACGGATGCAGGTTTTTCCTTTTTTTTTTGGCTCACTAACTCTGATACAAGCTCACAGACAGTTTGGAAAAAAAAATTGCTGGTGTTAATTATTACAGTTTTTACTGGCAACAACGGAGCAGAAAAATAAGGTCATTAACACATGACATGATGTAAGCCAACACCTGAACTAAAACCTTCAGCAATGGCATGAAAAGACACGTTTTGGTATGTGGCCCTTGGACTCTGTGGCTCTATTTTTAGGGATCAAACTTTGCCGCACAATAAACTGCCACCAATTTAGCCACATTAGGCAGGAATTCAGCGTGACAGCCAGACAACAGATCTCCCCATAGACAATAACTGAAGCGTGAAATCAAAGCAAACACTGAAGGAACCAGCATGCTTCCTGTGGAATTTCTTGGGGATGTGGGAGTTTGGCATTCTGTCTGAGACCCCGATATGACTCTGATCTAATTCTGGGTTCTGTTCCAGGGGGTTTATATCATCATATATGGACAGTTATGTTATACAGCTGTTACTTTTTCCAACCAAGACGAAAGTATGTTATGTTTTCACCCACTGTGAAAACATAACATCTGGGGATTGATGTCAAAAATAGCTCATAAAGTTGCTGTCAAAGGATGCCAGGAGCAACGTGTGGCAGGTGATGGATGCTGCTACAAATGTGTTTTGTCATGCCTGTCACCTGTTACCACAGAAACAAACAAATCTGGGCTTAAAAGAAGCAAACAGGCTGGTGCGAAAAAAACAGAGCCTGAAAAAAAAGATATAACAATATATATTGGGATACATAATTAAATACAGACGAAATATTTAGATAGAAGTTATTTTTGCAATGTTCCAAATCAACACCAAAGTTCAGAAAAACTAATTACATAACAACATTTAAGTCAGGAAAAGTAGAAATGAAAGTAACACCCGTGCATTTGGCAAGCATCTCAGTGACCCATGAATATAACCAACCTAACTGCCAGAATAAATATTGTATGTTTCTGCAAACCATGGTTATGTTACATTTGTACACTCTTATGTAGCAATGTTGTGGTTAAGTTGTGGCTATATTTAGGCACAAACACTGGGTTATGATTAGGAAAAGATCATATTTTGACTTGAAATTCCCAGATCTATCAGTATAATCTCAGAAGGGAATGCAACTATGTCTATTGCTGTGGTCGCTGATGGTACCCAGTCAAGCTAACTAGTCATCAGAAACGGGTTGCCACAGGGGTCTATCCTCGGTCCATTGTTGTTCACATTATACATAAATAATATGGTTATTCCTAATCAATACTTCAATGTCCATTTTTTTGCTGATGATACTATTTTATATGCTTCGGGCTCCACTCCAGTCCAGGCTCTGAGTCATCTACAGTCTGCCTTTGATGATTTTCAACAATCACTCATTAATCACAGACTAGTTTTAAATGCAGAAAAGACCAAGTTCATGGTATTCTCTACCTCCACCAGTGACTCGGAATATCCTGCCATCAAAACTTTAAATGGCAGCCATATTACTCAGGTTGAGTCCTACAAATATCTCGGAATTACACTTGACAGTCGACTAACATTCAAGACTCATATTCAACAGCTGACTCAAAAATTAAAAATCAAACTAGGCTTCCTGTATAGAATTAAAGGCTGTCTGTCTTCTTCCAGCCATAAAACTATTGTGCAGTCAACCTTCATGTCTGTTCTGGACTATGGTGACATTCTGTATTGTCATGCTGCTCCATCAACACTTCAGCAGTTAAACCCTGTGTATCACAGTGCATTACGGTTTATCACAAATGACGCATTTCGTACTCATCATTGTTCTCTGTATCAAACAGTTGGATGGACTTCCTTACAGACAAGAAGAAATATCCATCTCATGTTATTTATTTTTAAAGCTCTACTGTTAAAGCTACCAAACTACCTCACATCTCTTCTCTCTTTCAAATCCATTAACTACAGTACACGATCCAGTAACTACCTAACCTTAGATATCCCCTGCATGCGCACAAATGTTGGTAGATCTGGTTTCAGGTACTATGCACCTTTTAAATGGAACGAGTTAAAATCGACCCTCAAACTTGAATCTCTTGTTCCTCTTGGAGTTTTTAAAGCTTCTCTATCCAATGTTTTTCATGATTCATGTAATTGTTTTTATTAATTCCTTGTTGTGTTGTTCCTGCTTGTGTCTGTGTGTTTTTGTTGTTATGGATGTTGCTTTGTTATCAGGTCTCTCTTGAAAAAGAGATCTTGATCTCAGTGAGACTGCCTGATTAAATAAAGATTAAATAAAACAAAATAAAAATAAAACACCCACATCTGGTGGCTAAAAAGCAGCTGAAAACCCAGTGATAACTTGTTAAAAACACAATCACATTTCATGGCACTAGTCCTGACGGAAACACAGCGGGGGATCACACAGTGTGGGGTTGCTAAAAAACCCCAAACATGTTTGGTGGCTAAAAACACGCTGAAACGCAAGGATGACTTGCTAAAAATCAATCACTTTTTGTGGCACTATTCCCGACGGAAACACAGTGGGGGCTCACTAAAAAGCCGCAGGAAACACAGCGATATCTTGCTAAAAAACAACCACTTTTCGTGGCACTGTCCCTGCTGAAAACACTGTGGAGTCACTAAAAAACACCCACATTTGGTGGTTAAAATGCAGCTGGAAACACAGCGTGACTTTTTAAAAAATAACTGCACTTCGTGTACTATTCCTGGTGAAAACACAGTGTTGGGTCGCTAAAAAGCCCATGTTTGGTGAGTTAAAACACGCTGGAAACGCAGTGATAACTTGCTAAAAAATAACCACTTCTTGTGGCACCATCCCAGCGGGACACACAGCAAGCAGTGGTGAAAAACACCCACATTTGGTGGATAAAAATCTGCTGGAAACACAGTGGTGACTTGTTAAAAAGCAATCACTTATTGTGGCACTGTCCCATGTGCAAACACAGTGTTGGGTTGCTAAGAAACCTCACATTTGGTCGCTAAAAACACACTGGAAATGCAGCGATGTCTTTCTAAAAAACAACTAATTCTTGTGGCACTATCCCTTGTGGAAACACAGTGACAGGTCACTAAAAACACCAACGTCTGGTTTTGTTGTTTGTTGATCTCGAAATGTGGTTTGCAGCTTGGCATCATGTTGACTTCTTAGCAGCCCAGTCGCCAACAGAAAATATTCATTATACAGTTCTGCTTGTCTATGTCTGACATATCATATAAGCATTTCTAAACTGATGTAGTATATGAGCTGACTTTGTCACCTGGAGGTGGAGAAGACTCGGGCGTGACATCTAGGTAAGATGTCCGCCAAGCAGCTGCGAACTAATGTTCTGAGACCAATAAAAAAGAAAAGCTTTCACTATATTTCCACTGGGGATAGTGTCACGAAAAACGGTTGTTGTTTTTTTAACATGACATCACTGTGTTTCCTGATGAGAATGTGCCACAAAAAGTGAGTGTTTTCAGCCCAACCCTAGCCAAAACTACTGAAACCTAAGCCTCAACCTAACCACAGGTTAACCAGAGCATTGTTGAAATGTAAAGAAATGTAAAGTTTCAACATATTGGCTACATAAATAACATACAATGTCATGTATTTGTGGTTTGTAGAAACATGTAACGGCAACATTTATCTACTGTCTACTTCACATCATAAGCCTGCGTGTTCTGTGAGCCAGTAAATGACCAAAGATTATGTGTCACTCTGCAGATCAAAGAGATCAGAGTGGAAATCAATGAGGCAGAAATGACATCGCCTTTTTGTGTGTCGTACAGAAAATCCTTTGAAGCAGTCTGACTGAAGTTGTGTGGAAAATGAGGCTGTGCTGTTAACATCAGCAAAGCTCGCCATCCCTCTCTGGTTTTAACCTCTTAACCTGCAGTATTTTTAGCCTTCACAATACAGCCTCTCTTGATTTTGGTAAATCCCTTTGAATGTATCAGAATGTAAAACTTCAAGCTTCAGCACATTACCAATGATCTGAACATATTGTTTGTCAAGAGTAGAGAAAGCTATTGTAATTAAAAAAAATTAAGGAGTCTTTAACTTCTTAAAAGTCTTTATTTTTCCCTTAGATGTCCATCTTAAACTCTGGCAGAGACTTCTCATTCACACTTACAGAACTCGACACAGCTTTAAAGATTGCAAGTAGATAAAGAACATGAAGTAGAGACATTTGACATTTTTGGATGCAAAATCTAGATATATTAAAATCTGAAGCATTGATATATTTCTCTAGACCACTTTAAGGAAGACTTTCACTCATTCTTCATTTTCGTTTTGACGGAGGTTGATTTCTTAAAATGGCTTGTAGGGCGATGGAGTTTTCATAGTTGGGAACGTCGGCAGAGGGCATCGTTTTAGGCTGTCGAGACTTGTTGGGATGAAAAAAATAAAGAAGATAAAAAAATAAGTATAGCATTGGCACAGCAACACAGATAATTACATAAAACTATATACTGTTGAATGTACTTATAAGGCCCTAAATACCTCCAAAACAAGAAAATAAAATTTTAAAAAGAAACAGCTTTTTTTTCAAAGGATATTTAATGGCATTTAATATGTTTTTAATTTATTACATAGCTCATCATATTATCATCATATAACTCTTCTTGTTTTTAAAACCAAAATGACACGTTTTTAAAACCAAAATGAAAAACACAATGCCAGAATCAGAGCATTCATAGTCTTCACCAAAACATAAATCACCAAGTAGAACAACAAACAATTATTTTGTCAGCTAATTGCTTATTTCACGTGTTCCTATCTCTCTATGTATGAGGGAGGGCAATGTTTTAAGTTTTTAAATTCTTCTTAAATAAGGGATTCTGTGGATATTTGTTCCAGTTGGTTTGACAGGTGATACAGCTGTGCAGCACGTCATATGTAACTGACATTAAGACTGACGAAACCAAGGATGTCTCATTTGGCAGCTTTCGCTCCTTCACTTGCTTCTCCCGCGGGCAGGAAGACACCCGTAACAGGAAGGAGTGAGGGAGGGAGGGAGGGTGAGGGAAGCCAGGAGACACATAAGCATGATGAAATACACACATGGACACTTGTTCTCACTTCCCCATCAGCCCAGTAACACACACACCAGCCCACTTAAATCCACTGTCTTCTCCTCCGCCTGCCTGCTTTTGACTTTTGCGTAATTTTGGCCTTGAGTAAACTTAAACTTTGTCTCTTTTACACAAGCTTACGCAGAGGTTTGTGAATGGAGCATGTTCACACTTGTTAGAACATGCCCCAACATGTCTGAACATCAACACAGATAAATATCTGCTACATCACCCTTTAATACCTCTTCCCTACTTTTCACATGTAACCCATTATGAGTACACATGGACAATAGTTATTTCAATATCTTGTCATTCATTTTATATTTATGCAGGTACCTGGAGTTGGTCATAGTCAGAGGCGACACTGCAGGTCCGCAGATCATCGTAAGTGTGTTCCCCCTTCAGCTCAATCTGCTGAGAAAATTAAAAGAGAAAAAAAGTAGACTTTTTAATTGAGCATGTTCTCAGTAGTTTCAGATGTGAGAGCAATATTAGATAACACGACTGAGTTTCACTACTCTATGTAATGTTGCAGAGAGGCTTTGAAAGGAGGAAGTAAAAGGACAGTTTAACTGTGATTATGTTGTTCTACGTGAATCATTTACAGTGGTGGTGCAATAAGTAAAACTGACCTCAGTGCTGGTACGGTCTGACCTTGGGGCTAACAGCTGACCAACACTAACTTTCAACATCTGATTTGAAACAAGTGAGAGACCCCACACATAAAGACATGGAAGGATACATTTAACAGTTTTCTTCCTATAGTGTGTGGAGTGCAACAATTTGGCCAAAACAACACACCTCACACTAACAGATCCTATTCACAAACAAAGTCCTGACTCACAAAAATGTAAATCACTCACAATCAAACATGACTTTAGAGAAAGCAAACATGGTGGACGGTGGGCAGGGAGAAGTTTGTGAGTCTGTGAGTTTTTGTACTACTTTTTAGTGAAAATTCACCCAAAAAACAGGAAGAAATAGGGATACAGTCGTGGAGACAGCAGGGCCACAGATGATCCTTGGTTGTCCATGAGCTTCCCTAGGGCTGGGCGATATGTAAGTAATATCACAATATTGTTAGGCTATATTGTGATACACAATATATATCATGATATTTTGAAATCTCCTCTAAAGTACTGTAGACTGCTAAAATACAAAATTATAAATGAACTACAGTTACAATAAGGTTAAATAAAGTTGTTAGTCATGATTAAGTTCAACAAATACTGTTTAATAGTAATGAATAAAGTACTGTTATAATTAAATAAATCAAAGTGGAACCACTGGTGCTTTTATTTTGAAGTACTGGGCTCATGACAGGCCAGACAGACAGGCTGCTGCACCGTTAAAATTTGAGGATTTTCATACTGTGAGCTCGAAACACTTACATATTCATATATTAATAGTATTTGCAAGTTGTGCTGGTGCTCCATGGTCACAAAATGTGACTAATCTCAAGGCAATTGAATCAAACGCAACTGGACTTGGTTTTGTCTTAGAAGACGTTTCACCTCTTATCCAAGAGGCTTCATCAGGTCATGCTTGTCTGACTAGGCTGGAACTAGTCTGACAAACTGGTGTGGAAGCACCCAGGCATTTAACCTCTGGGAAGGTCTTCACAAGGCCAATGATGTCACTGGTTCGTTAGTGCTCCAATGGTGTGTCAATGACAGTCGTTGAAACTCCTGCTGCAACAGTTGTCACTGGAGTCGTTAGAGTCACATGAGGCCATTTGTGAACGACCATTGTTTTTAGAGGTTAAGTTGTTAAGCCTCCTGGGCAAGGATGAAAGGACAGCATTATAGGTGGGGGATAGGTGGTGTCGCAGACCTCCTCCTCTATTGAGAGATGGCTTTCCCAATTTCACATAGATGGCTTCTTTTACACCTCTTTCAAACAATCGGTCTTCCCTGTCCAAAATGTGCACATTGCTGTCTTCGAAGGAGTGTACTTTCTCCTTGAGGTGTAGATAGACAGCTGAGTCTTGCCCTGACGAGTTAGCCCTTCTATGTTGGGCCATGCGTTTGTTTAGTGGTTGTTTTGTTTCACTAATGTACAAGTCTGGGCATTCCTCACTGCATTGGACAGCGTACACTAGGTTGCTCTTCTGAGTGTGTGGTGTACGGTCTTTTGGGTGTACCAGTCTTTGTCTGAGTGTGTTACTGGGTTTGAAATACACAGGGATGTGGTGTTTGCTGAAAATCCTCCTGAGTTTTTCAGATACCCCAGACACATAGGGGATGACAATGTTAAAATGTAATTTTCTTCCTCACCCACCTTGTTCTTTCTGGGACAGGCTGCTGATTTCACAAAGGTCCAACTGGGGTAACCACAAGTTTTTAGAGCCTCCCTCAGATGTTCATGCTCTTTCCCTTGGGCCTGAGTGCTGGTAGGTACGTTATCAGCTCTGTGTTGTAGGGTCCTGATAACACCTAGTTTGTGTTCCAGTGGGTGGTGAGAATCGAACAGTAAGTATTGGTCTGTTCGAGTGGGTTTCCTGTATACCCCAATGTGGAGGCCTCTGTCCTCTGTAATGTCCACGTCACAATCCAAGAAGGGCAAACTATTCTCCTTAACATCTTCTCTTGTGAACTTGATGTTTCTGTCCACTGAATTGACGTGTTCAGTGAAAGCTTGTGGATCATTCACCTCTTGAGAGGTACAAGCTTTCACTGAACACATCAATTCAGTGGACAGACCGTACACCACACACTCAGAAGAGCAACCTAGTGTACGCTGTCCAATGCAGTGAGGAAAGCCCAGACTTGTACATTAGTGAAACAAAACAACCACTAAACAAAAGCATGGCCCAACATAGAAGGGCTAACTCGTCAGGGCAAGACTCAGCTGTCTATCTACACCTCAAGGAGAAAGTACACTCCTTCGAAGACAGCAATGTGCACATTTTGGACAGGGAAGACCGATGGTTTGAAAGAGGTGTAAAAGAAGCCATCTATGTGAAACTGGAAAAGCCATCTTTCAATAGAGGAGGAGGTCTGCGACACCACCTATCCCCCACCTATAATGCTGTCCTTTCATCCTTGCCCAGGAGGCTTAACAACTTAACCTCTAAAAACAATGGTCGTTCACAAATGGCCTCATGTGACTCTAACGACTCCAGTGACAACCGTTGCAGCAGGAGTTTCAACGACTGTCGTTGACACACCATTGGAGCACTAACAAACCAGTGACATCATTGGCCTTGTGAAGACCTCCCCAGAGGTTAAATACCTGGGTGCTTCCACACCAGTTTGTCAGACTAGTTCCAGCCTAGTCAGACAAGCATGAACTTATGAAGCCTCTTGGATAAGAGGTGAAACGTCTTCTAAGACAAAACCAAGTCCAGTTGCGTTCGATTCAATTGCCTTGAGATAACTATGACCTGGATGAATGAGAATATCCACAGGCAAAATGTGACTAAATAGTCACGGTGTTGAGCCCTGCAGGTACAAAGACACTTGCTTCCTCTGCTCACACTATCTTTAACCAACCGCTCTCTAGTACATTTATTAATAATATCTGCAACTTGCAGTCATTTGCAAAATGAGACTAAATAGTAATGTTAGCAATCTGGAGCCCTGCAGATGAGAAACACGCTTCGCCCTGCCCACACAATATCACTTGGGAGAAAGTTGTTTGAATGGGCGGAAGAGTGTGTGTGAGACATATCATGTTTGTGAGTCTTTCTTTATGCGTGTGTGTCTGTGGGAGGGAGACAGCCACAGGAGAGAGTCAGAGAACTGAAATGCTGAAGCAAGTCTCATACAGGTGGCTGTAGTCTTTTTATATATGGCTTGTGGAACAAGCAATGATACATCATGTATATTCAATATATGGCTCACCGTTAGACGCCTCTCATTACAACACATTCTTACTTTGACCTTGTCACATATTTAGGTTTTGGTCATGGATTTTCCACGTCCACATATGACGTGCAAGGTACAATGGGTGCGTTGGATGTTGACATTCTGGGACGCTGTACCAAGTTCTCTTCTATCAAGATACATTTCGTTTTCACAGGAAATTTAATGTTTACATACAGTCTAAGAAATGCACTACGTTGGTACAACACTGTGAATTGACTTTTTTTTCCCCCCTTCAACAACAAACACACATGGTTGGGTTTCCGAAACAAAAGCACGTGGTTAGGTTTAGGCAACAAAAACACATGGTAAGGTTTAGGGGGAAAAAAAACAGGGTTTGGCTTTAGAATCTTACGGAACGTGAACACCGCTCTCTCGGATGAAAGTTGGTGTTTGTTGGATCTCACAGCACAGGACAATTTCGCAAGACGATCTTTAGAACCATCAAAAAAACGGTTCTTTGCTGACGATTATCAGGGGGGGGGGGGATCAGGCCCAAAATCAGCTTAGTTGTTGTGTAATGGTTACCAGGTAAACTGTTCCAAGACATCACAAATGAACGTCCATGTTAAAAATAGCATTTATTCTTTGCAAGTGTGTGAAGAAAAGATTAGACATCTTCAGAAATAGTTGAGTTTTAGGCAGCAAGATTTAATCACCCTCTCTTATCAGGAAATCTGTTTATCCCAGCTATCATTTTATTTGCCTTTTAAGACATTTTACTTTTACAATTGTATATTTTGAAAATCAATTAGACCCAGATTGTTTATTTTCAGAATGCTTCAGGGAAAACACTCACTTTTTAAAAGGAAAAATGACATATCACATGTTCAGAGATTAGTCACCCCGACTTCCTGCCTCCAGTCAAACAGAGAGGACCAAGGATGTCAGCGAGACCAGACTGTGACTAGACCGTGACATGCAGAGGATGTCAAAACTCCTTATCAGATCCACTGTATTAGTGCTGAACAGGGGAACGTTTCTCACGTCTCTTGTCTGGCTGTCTGTCAAACAAAAATTTCCACTTACCTTCAGCCTCCTGCAAATACTTGAAAGGAGAAAAGAAAACAAACAGAGAAGGAATGTTAGCCAAAATTACTAGCAAAGATGTTTGTAGGCAAAGCACTGACACGCAGATAAATTGTTGCTCAACACCAGCATGTGGGGTTTCAAGAAATGGGAGCTATTAGATTACACAAAGAAAACTCCAGGAATAAAAAGTTAAACCCCCAAAGCAATAACTTTATGCATGAAGGGGAGATGTTGATGGTATCATTGCATTACACACAAACTATTCTTACCTCCGATACTTGAACACATCCACAACAACAGTCATGATGTAGAGGGCAAACAACACTCCACACATAATGTAGGGAAATAAAACAACACACTCGCTGCCACCTGAAAAACAGAAATAAAATACAACATAACAAGGGACAATTATTTAACAGATTTAAATAAAAAAGATAACTTTTATAAGCTGAAATAACCAGTACGAGTTAATTATTGTTGTTTTTTCCACCTTGTGATGTCAGATGAAAAATATCTTCAATCTTACTGAATTATTTTGCAATCAGGGCCCCCTTTTTCTAACTTTCCCTCAACTCACTTGAAGGTGCTGTATATAATATTCAGAGCATTATTATAGCATCAAACTATTAATGTAAAGAAACTGGACTGATGGCCTCCTGAGTAGAGAATGAAGTCACTTAATCCAGCACGTTCTCATTCCAAACTCCTCAAATACCGCCTCTATGTAAGTGATCAGTTGAGCTGTGGTATGATGTTTTTTTCCAAAACCTGACCACATGATTTGTTGCTACAGGAAATAAATGTGAATATGAGGTGTTTTGCCAGCACTGTAAGTTTATTTCAAAAAGAACTGTATGCATCGAATGAGCAGAAACTGAAATTGAAACACAATGCATGTAACAAGCGTGAATTGAAACTGCGCCCCAAAACATCAACAACAGATGCAGGAAGATACCGAGCACATCATATGTAGACATGAAAGTCCATTGACAAAGCATTGGTATTTGACAAGTTGGGATAAGACAGGGTTATTTAATCTGAGCTTCTCTGTCCTTTGTTGCGGCTGATGGTTTGGACATGTAGGTGTGTGAGTGCATGTTAGTTCCTGTGTGTGTGTATCTGGTGAGCTAATCACTGCTGCTCTACACTGTGCTCATATGGTGGTCCCTGCTGATAACTGCAACATCACAGGAGCGTAGCGTCCACCCTCCTGTTCCCCCCGGTTAACACTTTTAGCTCTGTTAGCACCGTTGCCGTTGTTAGCACTGCTTGTGCTGTTAGTGTTGTTAGCTGCTAGCCTCCATGATCAGAGCCTTGTGCAGCCAATCCAGGCTCAGACTCTGAATCATAGATCCAAAACTGCAATGGAGAAAAATAGCAGCACGCACAGCTCCAGTTCTTATATAATGTATCAGGTGAATGGTTGTGGCCAGGATAAAAAACACAAAACACCCACACTCACAGATACATTTTCATATTCATGTCTTATTCACAACCCTTCACTTTGCTTTCCTTTACTTCGCATTGCTTCACTTTACTTAGTAACTGTACTTTCTAGCTTTATGTAACATATTGTGAAGTTATGTCATCTGTTATTTACAAGAACTGCACATATACAAAACTAAAAAACCTTACATGACACAAAGAATGTGAACAAACGAAAACACAGTTTTGACACACACAGTTAAATGCACAAGAACTGGCAGCAGAGACTGTCTCAGAAACTATCATTTATGAATCAGTGTTCATCAAGATTCACTGACTGCTCCAACTCATAAGTCACGACCTGCAGCACAGTTACAAGGCAGCACATGTAAAGAGACTGGAGTAAGATAGGAGTGGTGGAAAAAATTGATACGGTATAGTATCGTGATATTTTGAATTGCAATATTGTATCTATACACGGACGCCAAGTACTCATCTTTCATCATAGACATTATTCATATTTGCAAATACACATTTTAATACAACTTTTGGTACTAGAAGACTAAAATCAATTGAATTATCAGTCCACTAGATGTTGCTGAGGTTTTTTTTTCCTGGTGAGGTCAGTAGTAGATAGAGGCACCAGAGAAAGAAATCACAAATGCGCCATTGGCATTATAAATCAAACATCTGGACTTATTTTGGATTTTTTAACACAGAAGGAAAGGAGGACTCGGATACATGAGTGTCATATGTGAATAAAATCCTCTTGGAATACTACAAACATGAGGGCTCACCCTCCACCATCCAGAGATAGAACACTAAACCCGCTCTGCCAAAAAATCAAAAAAACACTGGACACACTTAGCTTGACAAAACTACCATCCAACTCTGAGAGAGCTAAGAAAATAACACAGTCCATCACCTACTTCATAGGCAAAGATCTGCGTACATACAGCATTGTTAAAAGTGAAGGCTTTTATTATACGCTAAAAACACTGGAACCCAGGTATGTGACTCCGTCCCAAAATTTTTTGACAAAGTTTTCCTTTGGGGAAATCATTTGCAGTTGGAAAAAACGGTAATAAATCCCAAAATATGTTACAATGTATTTTATCGCAATACTCAGCATATCGCAGTAATATTGTATTGTGACCTAAGTCATGTTAAAGTATCGTATTGTGGGTCTTCTGGTGAGTCCCACCCCCAGAGTAAGAGCACTAGCACGATGAAGCATTTTGGCATTTGTATATATTGTGTCTTCTAGTTTACCTGTATTAGCGCTGACCTCCAAAAACACAGGTCTGGACCTCTGAGAACCCCTCTGACTCTGAGCTTCACACAGATACACCCCGCTGTCCTCCTGGCTGACCTGCAGGACCAGGATTTCTTCCTCAGCCTTCTTAGTCAGCTGTGATGAGGAGAGGTGATCAGTGTTTCAGTTAAAAGATAGGCCAATTTTTTAGAGAAAAAACACGAGATGACTCTGTGGTGTTACATGTGTTAATCCAATAGGAGAAGTGTGTTGTGATAGCACATGAATGTTTAGAACTGAAGTGCAGTTACTATTTTTTTTTCCTCCATATTGCACACTGATAAGGCGTGCCTACATTTCTTTAGTATAAGCATATCCTTACAGTACGTATAGCCAGCTTCCAGTGTTGCAAGAAATCAAAACTTGTGATCCAAAAGTGGCCAAAAGTATGTGGACACCTGAATATTGCCCCAATAAATTTTTTACCATCGCATTCCAAAACTGTGGATAATAGTCTTATGCTTTAACAACTTCCACTCTTCTGGGCTCTGGATAATTATCTACCAGGTTACTTTTACTGCAGGAACATTTTTTCATTCAGCCACAAGAACATTGGACGATGAAGTTTGGCTCGCAGTTGGCATTCCATTTCATCCCGAAGTTGCTGGATGGAGTTGAGGTCAGGGCTCAGTCACGACTTCTTCCACATCAAACTGGGAAAAACATTTTTTTATGGAGTTTGATGTTGCGTAAAATATCACTGAATGCTGAGACCCTCCTCATTGGTGCTAAGGGGCCAAGCTTAAACCCTGACAAATAGCTCCAGACTAAAAACACACAAGATTAATCGTAAAGCATTGTCCACACGCTTTTGACCACATAGGGTATTTGAAAATGAAACAAAATGTTCCTGAAAGATCACACACACACACACACATTAAAAGTAAGTAGCTATACAAATACAATAAAAACAAAATAAAATAGTAGATTTTCTGTTACGTTTCCACTGTCGGATCTGTGCCAGGTGTAGAGGCTCACAGGGGGGTTGGCATCACTCTGACATGTAAACATCACAGTACGGCCCTCAGAAACAGGAACAGGTGTGTTGAGTGTTGCCACAGTGTCTCTAGGAGCATCTGTTGACAAAGTGATGCAAAAAAATATAAGGCAGGCTGTGTGGATCCAGGAATGGAATATAACATTCACAATATTTTTTCATTCCTACACACTAGACCTTTAAGTAAGGGAGAGGTGTCCATTATCAGGAATGAATGGGCAATGGGCAGGTGTCCAATGGGTGCCACGAATTCCATGATGTCCATGAATTCCTGATCATGTACACCTTGAAGGGCATCGTCCCGCTTATACCATGGTCACTTGCCAAAATAGAAAAGTAAAGGCCGTTCATTTATATTTTCATGTTTCGCAATCAAAATCTTTTTAAATTTTTCACGAGCTACAAGTTTCCCTAGTAACACCTGAGGGTTTGACTAATACCTGGATCAATCATTACCATCCCATAAGGTTCAATGAAAATGTTGTTCACTACCACAGTACATAGGACGAACTGTAGATACGACTTGCTAAGATAGCCAGATAGCTAATGTTTTGCTATTGCGACTAACAGTAAAAGTAAATGATATGAGGCGGCACGGTGGTGCAGGGGTTAGCATTGTCGCCTCACAGCAAGAGGGTCCCTGATTTTAACCCAAGGAGGGAGCCCTTCTGTGCAGAGTTTGCATGTTCTCCTCAAGTCAGTGTGGGTTTTCTCTAGGTACTTCAGCTTCCTCCCACAGTCCAAAGACATGCGGGTTAATTGGTGACTCTAAATTGTCCGTAGGTGTGAATGTGAGTGTGAATGGTTGTCTGTCTCTATAAGTTAGCCCTGCAATAGTCTGGTGACCTGTCCAGGGTGTACCCTGCCTCTTGCCCAGTGTCAGCTGGGATAGGCAATTGAAAAATGTTATGCAATCCTTGTTTTATGTTTTTATATATATATATATATATATATATATTTTTTTTTTTTTTAATTGTCTTTTTCTTGTTTGGAGATTGTATTTCATTTATTTTCTCCACCTGTCAGTTTGTATATCTCTAGTATTGCATATATGAAAACTGCATATTCTTTTTTTCTTTTTTTTTAAACTTCCTTAAAGGGGCAATAAGCGAAATCGTTTCACCGCTAGGTTTGCTGTTGTGCACTGCCTGTAGAGCAAAACAAAGTGTGTCATGAGCCACTCCTCCCTCTACCTCTGCTCTCCAACACCCCCCAGATCAGATCCTGGTCGTCTTCAGGTGGACGTTCCGCTGTCTGCCATTTCATTTCGAAAATATGCGCTGCCATTGCTCACTGGCTGTAGCCTTTTATAGGGAGGGAGGGCCAAGGGCTCCGAGAGGAGGAGGAGGAGGAGGAGGAGGAGGGGGGGGGTGGGTTTCATATGAACGTACATGAACGCGCAGCCGGACCGGCTTGTAAACAATGGGCTGGAGATCAACACAGAGAGAGGGTGTGTGAGGTCATGCTATACTCCAGATGAAATTACACCTCTAGTTCTTCACATAGCAATTTTTTAATTCCTTCAATCTAGAAATTATGAATTTCACTTATTGCTCCTTTAATTAAATAAAAAAATCTCTAGTATATCTTGTTGGGAAAATGTTTTTTTTATTTATTTTTGTTTTTTCTTCTTTAGTCTTTTTTTTTTTAATCTCAAGTATTACTTGTTTGGATTTTTTCATGTAGATATTTTAAAAATATTCATGTCTGTTTGTAGATGGTGGTTAGCATATACAGCTGTCTTTAATTACAAGCTTTCAATGGTTTTTCGTCCCACCTGTCGTTTTCTGATATAATTGTATATTTTTCTTCCTTTGTCTTATTAAATACGCAAATAAGGAGCTAAAGAACTAGATGTTGAACTCACTCATTGTTATTAGATGTTAGCTTGTTAAGACGCTGCAATAAAATGTAAACAGAGGCTTTGACTGCATCCCAGTGTTGCTATGGTTACTCAGATACATGCTGATAACACATAGCCAATGCATAAATGTAGACAGAGAGTACATATTTTCACTGGAACTACTTAATAGGTGTCCATGAATGAATGTCCTGGAGCCAATCGGATATAGAAGATTTACCCGGACCAAGGAGTAAAAAAAAAAAAAAAAAGAAGTACTTCTTCCACCACAACACAAACACATTACCACTGTACACTAACAAAGGCACCTTGTGTCATGCCTTCAGATACACTTAAGTGGTTCATTACTTCCGTTAACACCAAGTTAAGACAAGTTCAGCTCTTCAGACACTGACTGGTTAAAGAAAAACTTCTGTCTGCGCAAAAGAAACAAAAATCCCCTTCAGGTCAAGTGAGTAGCAGTCATGTTGGAACAAGTTGACTGTATTCCCAAACTACTTTGTACTGTGTCTGACACATTTAGCAACTTAATGGGCAATAAATCAGTGTCAGTAATGACAGTGGCAGGAAGGAAGAAGGAAGAGAAGAAGAACTTGTCAAATGAGTCAGTGGGTTAATGAATCAATCAATCATCAATATCTGGGTGGTATTTGGAAGTTTTAGGACATATGTTTGCATGTCATATGTTGACATGGAAAGTCCATGACCATTTGTCGATATGTGACGAGGTTGGAGTGAGAATGTGTTAGGTACAGTACAGTTGGGTAGCTTAGTCCAGTGGTCTCCAGCCTAAGGCTGGGGAGAGGAAAAAGGGAAAACAAAGTTCTGCTGCATAAATGGGGATGTCTTAGCTTATTTTCATGTGTGTGTGTGTGTGTGTGTGTGTGTGTGTGTGTGTGTGAAATATTGATGATTTGGCCTCTTTAAGCCTCAAACAGTTATTAAAATGAAACCATCTGAGAAGTTAAGAGGGGAAGTCACACTGGTGGAACTGCTGACAACAATAAACATCTGAAATGTGTCAACACGGCTTTAGTGCTCTACAAAACAAGCCAATGTGTTGTATTTCATAAGCTCTTCCTATAGTCTATTGTATGTACAATCTTAACCTGGAAAGTAACAGTTTACTTTTTTGTGTCCAATAAATGTATAAAGTATACAATATTCCCTTTAGGTTGAAGTGTACCAGATGCACAAAGTAACATAATAATAATTTACCAAGTAAAAATACTCAAGTTAAGTACCTCAAAAGTACACCTATGTACAATAGGGGAGAATGGGGTTGGTTGTCTCACATTTGATCTCGCTCCCTAGAGGGCGCTGTTAAAAAATGTTGTTTTTCAGGATTGGGTTCAGAGCTCACATAAAGGGTCATCTCAGGAGTAATGGTGCGTTCGTTTTGTACTCAGAGGTCAGAAATTCCCAGTTCCCAGTCGGAAGTTTAAACTCAAACGCACCCTGAGATCGGATTTCCAACTCGGAAACTCGGAGCAACCGCATCACCCCCGACTTACAAATTCAAGATGGCTGCCGGTCACATACATAGTGAGTAAACACTCTGCTAAATTACTGTTTATAGCAATTTGATCTGATTTGTTTTACACTGGGTCAGCCATACCCATAGTACTGTTCAATTTTTATGCGTGGGCATGTTGCTACACTGCCTGTTATGTACAAAATACCACATAGAGCGTTGTTATCAACTGATATTGCTAACAGTGGCTACGGCTAGCCCAACGGTAGAACGGTAACGTCCATGTTTTTTCCAACGTGTCAACCGTTGTCAACTAGAATGCAAAAACTGTTGTCAACTCGGAGGTGACGTCATTCCCACTTCCAACTTCCGACCTCTGAGTACAAAACGAATGCACCATAAGACACTTTACAGTATGGTAACAAGACTTTTTTTTTTCCATGCCAAAATCTAAATATCCAGCTCTCTTCTATTTCTCCTCTATGCTATTACACAATGGGTATAATAAAACAGTTATTACCATTAAAAATTGTGAATATGTGGTTGTTAGCTTGGTAAAAAATCCAAGTTGGGGACGCTTCACATTCTCTTCCAGGTTGTTTATATCCATCCAATGGCTATAACTTAAGTTGGATGTCTAGATCTATCATTTCTGTCATCTGACTCCACACAAGTGCACAGATGAAATGTCTATAAACCAATCACAGTGTTCCACATCATCAACAGTGAACTGCAGTAGCCACACCCCTTTTTAACAAGCATGGTCGACCATGAGGCAAGAAAGAAGTGCAAGGCATGTTTCAGTCTATAAATCAAATTTTTAAAGTGCATAACTTGTGTTTAAACTGTCTTTTAAATAACCACGAGATGTGATATTACTTACACTTGTAGGAAAAAAAAACATATGAGAGATTTACAGCCTTTTTTTTTTTTTTTTTTTTAAATATGTCCATTGGAATAAACAGGAGATGTGAATGTCATCCCAAAATGAATAGGGAAATACTGTTTAAATAGAGAAATACCATTCTTTTTAAAATTTCTAATGATATAATCAGTGTATAAAGCACAGTATTCATTTCAAGAGGGTTTCAGCACACTGTTTTCTGGAGATACTTGAGAAATTAAGGATATTTTGAGTCGTGATGATGAATCCAATGCACCATACATATGTCATGTGTTTTAAAGCATCACTTAATGGATGAAAAAAATGTTTTAGTAATTTATGAGTGCGTTTACAGGAGAAACCTACTATCACAATACTTTTTATGTGTGTGTGGAACATATTTGGGGTCTGAACGGGTTATAATGTTGTATAACGATGAAAAAGGTATTTATAAGGATTATTTTTTTTCTGCTTATTCCTGCTCTCTCAGTGCATGAGCTGGTTAGGTTGTTGCATTTCAATGAAAAACTTCAATGAAGTTTATCTTCTTAAATTTATTTTTAAGATTGCTTCCATTTTAATCTTTCCCCATTAAAAAAACACAGGGACAACCAATCGCAAAGACTGTGACAACCAGCCCTGCGATGGGGATGATTGTCACAAGTACTCAAAACATGTTGGACAGTCCATATCTTTTAAACAGAATAAGTTTAGGGAGTGTAAAGTCACTCCATCCCTATCTGACTCTTGAGGCTTTCATTACACATTGAAAGGGAATCTATTAAGCATACAGGTTTTGAAGAGTTCAAATGAAAGCGTGTGACAACCAACCCCATTCTCCCCTACTGGTCTGTTTCTTCTGCTTTTAACATTTACATTTCCTCCAATGGATCAGTAAAATCTTTAAGTCTGCAATTCTGCAAAGTGAGTTATCATGATACTACTCTTCATCATCTACATGGAAACACTGTCAACTTTCCCTAAGTATCAAATGGCTTTTTTATAAAATGACCACGCAGAGTGAATTATCAGCAAAGAATGAAGACGTGTGTTGACCTCTCTTCGCCTTTTACTGTTACTCCTGATGACATTTTCAAGGAGCTACTGTCGTCACTGAAACACATGCAGACAAACACTGAGTGTCTCACACAGGATGTTGAGCCTCTGACTGGATGCAGACGGCGGGCTGCTGCCCCCTTTTGTCAGCGGGTACGTGACAGAACAGGAGATGCTCTGGTTGTGATTGTCGGCTGTGGCAATGAAGGTCAGTGTGGACGTCATGGTCGTCTGTCAGCCCACACAAAGAGAGAGGAAAACATCTAGATTACTGAATGTACTTGAAATAAAACTCTGGAAAGTTTATATCCTTTTGAATACTAAAATAATACAAAATAAATAAATAATAAAAATGAAGAATAATCTGTTATATAACACTGTGAAGAAATTCATCTAAATACACTTGAATCTATTAAAAAACGGATGAAAACTGAGATACAAATGAATTTGTGAACAGTGGAGGAAGATGTATTCAGATTATTTGTCTGCATTAGAAGTAGATGTCTGACATGCCAAACTTAAAGATGCACTACGCAGGTTTTTCCTTAAAACAGTGTATAGAGTTATACAAAAGAAATTTCTCCTCATGACTTCTGACCCACTCACAGAGTGTGGTTGTGTATTGTTTTTGCAGAGAGTCTGCCCTCTGCCTGTAATTTCTCTTTTTTCCCTCTTTTTCTGTGGTCAAGACATTTATGTGCATGTAACCCCACACCAATCAGGTGAGATCGGGGCTTTTTAAAAAGGTAGTGACCCAGTGCCAGACAATAAGCAGCAGACATCCTAGAAACACAGTGCTTGGAAAAAAAATGCAAATATGTGAATTTAGGGTTGGCTTTTACTTTCACTTTTGCTGGTCAGCATATCTACAAACATTTACAATCCTGTATAGTTTACCTTTAAATAAATGTATCATCAACAAAATGTATTTCAGATGTGAAAACAAAATGATGTTAAGCTCTATTAATAATATAAAATTAAAAGTCATGTAAGACATCAGTGGAGCTGCTTTTAACTACTATGTATAAAGTTGGGTAGCCTAATCTATAACAATGCATTATATTTCATAATGTAGTCATATGTTTTGTATGTGTACTCTTGTTCTTTAAAGTAACTTGTGACTATAAAATCAGTGTTCTAAACTTAAAAGAAATGCGCTGTATTTCCTCCCTAAATGCAGTCAAGTAGAAGTAAAGAGTAGCATAAAATGACAATACTTAAAGTAAACGTTGGAGCCTATTGTCTCATGTTTTTTGTGTCTAAGTGACTCGTGGGAATTTTTCAAACTGTCCCAGTACTGAGAGAGACTGCTGCAGTTGCGGCAGTGAAATAAGCTGGATGGGTCCAACAAACACCGACTTTCATCCAGGAGGCCCATGTTAGTGTCCCCCTAACATTATAAAGCCAAACCCTGTCCTTTTTTTCCTAAACCTAACCCTGTGCTTTTGTTGTTAAAGTCAGTTTGTGGTGTTGTACTGACGTAGTGCGTTTATTTTGACAGAGACTGTATGTAAATGGTAAATTTCCTGTGAAAATGGAAGTGTATCTTAAAGGAAGACAATGCATGTAACAGCCAGAACTTGACACGGCGTCCCAGAATGTCAACAACCAATGCACCCAGGGTACCTTGCACGACATGTTGACATGGAAAGTCAATGAGCAAACGTTGATATGTGACAAGGTTGGAGTGAGAATGCGCTTCAAAAACAAGAGAAAATGTCAAAGTTTTGCTTTAAGTAAATTACAAATATCTCAAATTTGTACTCAAGAAATAAGGTTGGCATGACAATTTTTCTTATTGTGAACAAATCCAACTTTTGATTAACTGCTTGAACAAGTATGGTGTGTGTATCCAAAACCTGATATATGTTACGTATTTTTTTTTATTTCTGTGCCATTTTTCTCATGCAGACAAACATATTTTTATAGGAGAGACAAATAAAGGATTTAAAAATCAGTTTATTACTGAACCTTTCCCCAGCTGAGCTGTCAGGATGGTCTGAGTTTCATTGTTTTCCAAAAAACTATTTAAAACACCAATGAACCACACTGCTGTACTGAGTGACATGTTTCGTCATTGCCACGAAGTCATTACCACTGTAGTTTGTTTTATTGTTAATCTGCAGCTGGATTCAAATGCACCAACAAATGTGTCATATCCTGAAACAAACCACGACTCCCACATTGTTGGTTTTGATCCTTACAAATGTGTGTCCCTGTATGAATGTATGAATGAATGAGTAAGTGATCCATTACCTGTTGCATTTGTGTCTGCTCCTGCCTGGAGTTGTCTCGGGGAAGCCAGGTGATGGAGGGGGGCAGGACAGAGCAAGGCACTGGGACTGAACACTGGAGCCTCACCTGGGCTCCCTCTGACACCTGACTCACAGAGGTCAGCTCAGGAGGAGGCAGCTCTGTCGAGGAAAAGATACAGGCTTTAACATATCCGGCAGACACGCGTTTCTGGTGGGCTGATGAAGCTAAGCCTAATATTCCAATAATTACTCTCTTTAGCTCTGATTTTGATCATTAGCTCCTGAATGTATTATTCGTCTCTTCAGCTGCTAAATGCTCCACAAAAAAAGGGTACTCCACCACAAACCAGTGGATGTTGTCATGGTTGCTACTTGCTACGCAGTCTATTCTTCAAACGCATCACGTCACTCTCCTCATCCAAAGCAAGCATTATCTGAGCAGCCAAACAGGCTAATAAACTTTTCTGTCACCAAACACTCAAATGTCTCACAGTAGAAGTCTAAGACTTAGTGATAAATAACTTCCAGTTAAATATTTGCACCTTTGAATTTGAGACAGAAGGACCATTTTCCAGTGCCTTTGATAACTTCATCCATTCATACCTGGATGGACGTTAATGTTGACTCCATTACTGAAAGTGTACTTGACGTGGTTTGTACATTCCAGCCTGAAGAAGTACATGTCGCTGAAGTTCTTTGGGAAATTGTGGAATACTGTAGTGCAGTTCTTCTTCGGCAAGTCTCCAACCATATGCCCCTTAAAAATACAAACATTTTTAAAACTTCTTTTTAAAAACAATTTAGGTTAATTGACAGTCACACAGAATTAAACTACCAAAAGATAAGTGTAACTGCTCGTCACACTCATCTTCTGATATCTTACAAAATCTTGTTCTTTTTATACACATCTATACCGCTTAAAAGTCCTGTGTAGGATTTAGAGGATATACTGGCAGAAATGAAATATAAAAAGTATGTTTTCTTTAGTGTATAATCACCTATAAAGAGTCGTCATGTTTTAATTCCCTTAGAATGAGCCGTCTAAAGACTTCCATATTGCATCGCCAGGTTTCTACAGTAGCCCAGAATGGACAAACCAAACAGTGGCTATGGATAAGGTCATTCACATTTTCATGCTGGCCACCATAGTTAGAAGCCCCACCAACACATTCTCACTCCGACTTTGTCACATATTTACATTTGCTCATGCTTTCCCCGTCCACATACCACGTACGAGGTACCTTGGGTGCGTTGGTTGTTGACGTTGACGAGACCCTGTTCTGTCTGTTACATGCATTGTAACAAAATTGTTTCAAAATACACTTCAGTTTTCACAGGAAATTTAATGTTAGCATACAGTGTCTTTCAAAGGAAACGCACTACGCTGGTACAACACCGGGAACTGATGTTGTTTTCCTTAGGTTAGGTTTAGGAAAAAAGAACAGGGTTTGGCTTTAGAGTCTTGCGGGACGCAAACACTATCTCTCAGGTGAAAGTCAGTGTTTGTTGGACCCATGAACCACCCCTCCCACCCGACCCAGTTGGACTTTTGCCGCTTTAACTTTCCTCCAATCGGCCGCGTATAATGACGACATTAAAGAACGCCTTTGTTCATTGGTTTCTTTTTTTTTTTTACTTTTTTTTTTATTGATTTTTCAACATCATAATAAAACAAGGCAAAAGGAATGACAAGTTTGCTGCATAGCACTGCAATGTACATATCCAACCATACCTCTCACCAATGCACACACACACTACAAAGCACACCCAGACAGACACACTCATACACACACCCAGACACCACTCGCACTCAACATACATACAGACACACTCACGCAGTTACAAAACAAGACAAAACAGAACAAAACAAACGAAAATTACATTATAGTGTTTAACTTAATGTTAATAACAAAAAAAAAAAAAAGAAACCATAGGTTGCAGGACAATATAGACGAGCATATTGGTATAGTGCTGATCTTTTTCCATGAATGTCCGTGCAATGTCCCAGTGTCCTTGAGTGTTTGTGTCATTGTCAAAGAGCAAGTTGGAGGCACGTTCCATGCTTAGCAGGTCCAGATAGTCTCAAATCCATTCCGATAGTGCAAAGCATGAGGACTTGTGTTGCTTCCAGTTCATAAGGATGATTCTCTTTGCAGAGGGAAAGCCTACATTCATAAAGTAGTGTGTGGAGCTTGATTTGACATGTTCCAGTGATTGTCCAAGAAGGCATGTGATGGGGCAGGCAGGTACATGAACCTTAAACATATCTGTTAGAACCTTTGTTATGCCAAGCCAAAATGTCTTGACTGCCGGGCAGTCCCATAAAAGATGTAATAATGATCCATGCCCCCCACAGTTATGCCAACATTGATCTGACAGATCTTTATTTATTTTGGATATACGAGAGGGTGTCATATAAGCTCTGCATAATATCTTAAATTGTATAATCCGGTACCGAACACACCTGGATGACACAATACCCTTCTTCCATATAGCATTCCACTGTTCTGGAGTCAGTGACACACCAAGATCCTTCTCCCATGCCTGTTGAGTGGGTATAAATGGATTAGGTGAGGCAAGTAACAAGATCTTAAAAATACTCGAAGTTGTGCCTCTTTTTGTAATGGCTGACATTAAGTTATTATCTAGTTCTGTTTTATGTGCGAGGGTAAATTTACCAGTAATTGATTTAATTTGTAGATAGGCCAGGAACGCTGCTTCTGGTAGTCCAAATTCTGCTTTCACATCAGAGAAAGGACGGATACCATTTTCATTGCAGAGCTGGCCTATGGTGAAAATGCCTTTATGTTGCCATAATATATTGTTTAATGGCTTACCCCCAGCAGTCAGTAATGTATTAAGCCAAATAGGGCATGGTGGTAACATTAGTCCATTTATACCCAACCTTTTGTGAAATAGTTTGGCAATAGAGCATGAAAATCTGATAATGCTGTTATTGAGGGTGGCTGGGGGATTAGTAGAGTACCATAATGAGGCTGGTGTGGTGACTTTGGTTTCAAGTATAATTTTGTTCTCTAACCACTCCCAGCCACCCTTGACGGGATCAGATTTGTATGCCCAGGCAAGGGGCTATCTTGCATTAAGCGATAGATAATAACAGTACACATCTGGTGCCCCAAGGCCTCCTTGAGATCTTGGTGTTGTAAGCTTTTTATAACCTATTCTCGGTTTTTGATTATTCCAAATAAAATGTATAAACAATGATTTTATTTGTTTAAACCATGATAGAGAAAAAAAGAGGGGATGGCTGATAAAATATACATAATCCTGGGTAAAATGTTCATTTTAAGTATTTCAACCCTTCCCAATATTGATATGGGTAGAACAGTCCATCTTTTAAGATCATCTTTAATCTTTACTAACAATTTAGGGCCATTTATATTAAACATTTCAGTAATTGGAGAAATAATATCTATGCCCAAATATTTCATACCTTTGCTTTTCCAAATACAGGGTGTGCCTGCTAAGTGTACTTGAAATGTATGTTGATTCAAGGGCATCGCCTCACTCTTACTCCAATTTATCTTATAACCTGAGAGGTAACTGAAATTTTCCACTAGTTCAAGCAGGGCAGGTAATGACTCTGAGGGTTCATTTAAAGTGACTAATATGTCGTCAGCGTACAAATTCAATTTGAAATTATAGTTATGCATTGAAATCCCTTTAATTTTCTTATTGGTGCGTATTGCACAGGCAAGTGGCTCTAGAGCAAGAACAAATAACAATGGGGAGACGGGGCATCCTTGATGGACCCCACGATGTCGACTAAATGGGGCAGATATCAGCCCATTGGTTTTGACGCTTGAGACTGGTGCACCATAAAGAGTTTTTACCCAGTGCATAAAAAATGGGCCAAAATTAAATTTAGATAATGTAAAAAGCAAAAATTGCCATTCAATGCGGTCAAAGGCTTTCATTGCGTCTAAAGACACGGCAATTGCAGGAGTTGTGAGGTTATTTGCGGCTGTTATGACATGCAAAAGCCTGCGCATGTTATTGGCTGAGACCCGTCCTGATATGTACCCCACTTGGTCTATATGAATCAGAGATGGAATCACTCTCTCCAGTCTAAGAGCAAGTATCTTTGCTAGAATCTTATAATCATCATTTAAAATACTGAGAGGTCGATAGTTTTCCATCTTTTTATGGTCTTTTCCAGGTTTGGGCAAGACAGTAATGATGGTTCGTCGCATAGAGGGAGGCATCAATTCAGTTTCAATTGCCTCATTGAAGAGCATTAAAAGAATTGGTGCAAGAACTTTGCTGTAGCGTTTGTAAAATTCTATAGTGAAGCCATCTTCACCAGGGGTTTTACCTGATGCTAGTTTGCTAATTGCTTGCTCAATTTCTGCCTGAGTGATAGGAGACTCCACCTCTGCATTCTCACTGACACTAAGAGCTGGGAGATCCAGCCCATTAAAGAATTTGTTAAGGTCTTGATCCTTTGCCTTATATTCCGATGTATAAAGATTAGAGTAAAATTGTTTAAATGCCAAGTTAATGGAGGTATTATCAGTATGAGGAGTGCCTTTGCTATCACTAATAGCTGGTATAAAGTGCATGTTCTCCACTTGCTTTAATTTGCGGGCGAGCATTTTGCCTGCCTTATCACCTGATTCAAAATGTCTCTTACGTAACTGGAAAAGAGCATTAGCTGTTTCTTCATGCAACAGGCTTTGCAGGTCAGCTTTAACCGTGAATATAGACCTCCTTAGTTCCAAATTAGAAGGGTTGGACATGTGCTGTTCCTCTAGCGCTTTAAGTTTGTTGCCAAGTTTAATTTTTCTTTCCATGCGTTTCTTTTTTTGCGCTGACACATAACTAACCACCCATTCCCTACATGTGGCCTTAAAGGCTTCCCAGACAGTGGAGACTGAAGAGACTGATTTTAAGTTTATATCAAAGAATTCAATAGTTTTTTTTCTATAAGATCAGCAAAATCAACATTCTTTAATAGAAAATTATTTAGCCTCCACTTTTTGGTTTTACACATGCTGGGTGATGGGAAAAAGGAGACAGAGACAGGTGCATGGTCGGATAATATGATGCTATGTATATGGGCATCAATCACATTTTGAATAAACTGCTTGGACATTAATATGTAATCAGTTCTTGAATAAGAATTATGTACTCTAGAGTAGTAAGTATATTCTCGTACATCTTGGTTCATCAGGCGCCAAATGTCAGTTATTGCGAGTAGTGATTGTAGCTCTTCCATTGCTCCTCCAGAGATTCTGTCCAAGGGCAATGGAGAACTAGAGCGGTCTACCAGTGGGTCTTGTACCAAGTTAAAATCCCCGCACATGATAATAGGGCCCTCTACAGCTTTAATGATAATAGAG